CTTTGGGAGAACTGGAGTGGCATCGAGTTAGTGTGTTGTTCTTCGGGTTAGAGTACACTCGACACACCCAATAACGGCCATCCTGGAAGCATAGTCGAGACTTGCGTGTAGTGACTGCATCACAGTCAAAGCGCAGTGGGTCGATGAGGTGCCGCTTTTGTTCCTTCCACTATTCATAGCGCATCTTACTAGCTCCCAGTTCGGTAAGACGCCTTCTACAAGCGTCACACATACTCTGTATAGGTTATTAAGAATCTCAATTTGAGATGGTACTCATAAGCAGTTGCAGATACTTCACATGGGGTTTCCGGCTTGGATGCATTTCTCATTATATTCAGCCCGAACAATTCGGGAGAGGAATCCTATTAAATTTGGATGGTGTTGGCTAGATAGCTTGGAAAGGCGTATGGGTGATTCAGCCTGAATCATTCAGGTGACTACGCTAGTGTCGTGGGATGATGCACGTTACGAAGTTGACTCTCAATCATTGACATTCATCGCATTAATTGATAGGAACTCAAAGTTTGAGTTTCCCAAATGATTAACATTGATCTTGACCAACAATTATCTTGACGAAATATCTATCCGAATTTTCGCCCTCCCGACTGCGGAACACGAAACCACGATGGTCTCAACGGGGTGGAAAAACTCTGATCCTCACATCCATCCTATCTTCGGCCACTAATCGCCACGCAATAAAATATCTATTACGAAATTCATGGTCAGGTTAAAGAAAAGCAACGCGTCGGTGACTAGTTAGGCGCGTGTAGACTGTAGAGGCTCTACCGTAGGGCAACCACAATCGCTCAGAATATCGATCAGGTAAAAAATCTCCGAGACTACGTACCAAATTGGAGACAATAAGGCAACCTGTTCGAGATGGATTGGCAACTCTCCGCTAATGAGATGTTGAGATATCCACAAGGGGCATAACGGAGAAAAAATTGGCCTTCGCTAGAGTATCTCAGAGAATCAGAGTACTATATCTCTGGAGGTCATCCAAAGACATGACATTGGATACGCCGAACCGATCGCCAAGCTCAGGAGGAATCGTGTCATAGCGTTTCTTAAGGATTTTCAGAGCACCTGTGCAACTGGCGATGAAAGTTTTCGTGGAAGAGATACGCACCTTCAGTGAAAGCACCAGATTTATCCGTGTCCACATCGTGTTTTCCTTGATGGTAACGATGCTTATGGAATCCAACCCATAAGGTCGAAATATTCCCGCTGTTCCCTGTATCCCAGAGCTCGATCGCCAGTGCATCCGCGAAGTCGGGTATGAAGACATTTTTAGGCTCCACGGATAGGATCTGAGTCGGAATGATGGCCGGCCAGCAGTGACAATGCGCTGTCGAGAGTTCACTCAGACACTTGCGAGAGTAAGGGAGATTTCAACCTATGATTCCCCGTAAAGCCTCTGATTCTATATCCGATGCGAATATCCGAAGATTCTATACTCTATGATAGGGCTCCTATCCTAGAAGGCTAAGTGACGCTTACTAAGCATGTATAGAGGCAATATAATGAAAGTTTCATTACATTATGAGCCTTTCATTATGGAACTGGCAGTAAGCGACAACGATATGCCAGTGGCATATTGTTGTAGCCTATTGTGGTGCCAGAACATACCGCGATTTTTCAAGAGGCGCAGGGACTTATCGACAATGCTAGTACGCCAAGCATAAGGGAGTTCAGGAGAGGTGAATCCAGAACTTCTGAATCGGAAGCGATGAGGCCCACGACTTACACTCTGCAAGCAATATATATTGATATCATGTCCACCCAAAAAAGTGATCCCCCTCTGTATTAATACCAATTTACCCACCAACCAACGAAGGAGGCTCCCTGCACCAAGTCTGCCGATGGGCAAAGTCGCGAAGCGACGTCTCATGACCCATTCGCGTGCGCTCAGCACCTAAGGAGGAACCATCCGATAGCGTCGAGAGGCTGCTGTTTCTCACTTCATCCACGAGCTCAGCAGCCCGGCCGGTGAATGGTAGGGGGAGATCGTGGACCCCATTGGAGATAATAACACCGGCAACCGCCCTGAGCTCCGCAGTGTGCGTCAAGTTGAATGCCTTTAACAGATGAGCAAATTCGCCCTTGGTCTTATTCTGGAATTCGGGAGATAGCTCCTGTTTTTTCACAAGTGCCTTCAATGCGGGGCTATCAGGACGAAGCAAGTCATCTCTCACTGGCACAGCAGGTCCTCCTTCAGGACCATCGAAGAATCTGAATAGAACCACAACGTTGAGCACCAGAGTCTATTGAATAAACCGTAGATCATGAACGGTAAGTTCAACCGCACTCCAAGTTGGAAAACTAGATAAGAAAATTGATATATAAAGTGCGCTCAAATTGACCGACACACTTGGGTCGAGTAAGCGGTTGTCCATGTTACGGAGAAGATTCATCATGAACGTGAGCCTAATGTTCACCACAGAGCCTGAGAATTCGGAGTTGAGCGAATCGTCGAAAACGATGGGAGTATATTTATGGCGACAAAATGAGCAACCCGGCCTACCCCTCCACGAAGGCTTGTGCACTGAGCTGAGCCCTCTCTTTACTAGAAGAGAACACTTCCACCTTGTAGGGAAGGAGGTCACCCAAAATATCTCTGTATCGATGTCCCATGGCTCGCATTTGAGATTTCCCGAGACTTGTCAAGTCCCCGGGTGCCTGACACGAGACTTCGAACCGCTAGCCTCAAAAGTCTCAGCGAGTACCAGAACGCCTCCCCAGGGATATGCTCCCGGGGGATAGGAACTCAGATTTGTAGGAGTCCGAGCACCATGCCGAGATAACACCTACAAGACAACCACCTCTCCGCTGGCTATGTAGCAACCCAGTATGGATGTTTTTTCGAGGTCCTGGAGAATCACGAGCCCCTCCAGAGAGATCCGCGAAACTCACGATAGTCGCCAAGCGCTTCATTTTGACATCCCCAGCCGAAACGAAGCCTCGTGAAGTTAGTAATGTTACTGCTAATAGCAGCAGGTGGGCTACTTGAACATGCTTGCAGAAGCTCACCATTGACAGAAGAGACATTCCACTGCTGGACAGCTTGGACGTTCCGATGTGTAACTGACTCAACACTCGTCAGACACCCGAGCGGCGGAGAGGTCGACGAACACCCGACAATGGAACCCACTGAGTGGGTTCGTGAGTTCGTGGGCACATTTTCTATATTCTGCGCCCCATCCACAGACAAAAGTATCCACTTACTGGCCAGTTATCCCGCATGGCGCGATATTCGCCACGTAACTAGCTAATTCTCACGCACGCCGAGGTAGTTGCCACGCTACTTGTTAGTTAGCACGCACGCCCATTGGCTTACTCTGAGTATCCCACAACCTAGTGCACCGGATGGGCCATGTTCTGACCATGTCAGGGCCAAGCTCAGCTCTCTATCAAAATGGTTGATGCCTAGCAGATGCGGTACAGATGTCAAGAGAAACAAACTTTTGGAAAAGTTCCCCTGAGGAAACCTGTCAGACTCCGGATGCTCAGTGCAAAAGCAAGAAAGCCACTCCAGACACTCTCATTAACTCCAACACAAAATCTTGTACGCACAAAAACACTTTCATCCGAGTATATCAGGTGAAGAGAGGCATTATCGCAGGCGAAGTCACCTACCATGGCCTGAGAGAATACGTGTGTCGACGCTCCTCCCCAGTCATAGCTAGAACGTGACATAGGGAGCCAAGGAGCAAATAGTGATGGGAGGATCTGCCCGCTTCTGTTGGCCAGTTTGTTAGCTGTACTATGTGGAGTGTTCGCTATATGTAACTCGACTCCGTTCGGCGACGATTAGTTCCCTCTTTCATCCGACTGTACAGCCCTGCCCGTGCGAAGGCTTCGCAGCGAAGCAGACAAATAAGCAGCACATGGCAGGTGCGAGAGTCCTAGGTGTAGCTCACGGATACATGCGTGATTCACGCAGGGTGATACGATCAATGACACGTAGAGGCTTCCGTGGATTCTTTGGATGGATTATTATTGGCACTCCTGTCAAAGTGTTATTCTATACCCGTATCTACCTTTGGGATTGTGTTGCCGAAGTCACTAAAATCGACGACTTCGAGTAAATTCCTTCAGAAAATGAGAAAGGCTACGCGCCGACTCAGCTACTAGGCACGGATACGCTGTCTCCCTTGCAATGGTTCCACCGCACGGCCCACACACAGGGGTCAAAAACGTGCGAGTATAGATGGTTGGAGAGGCGAATCGAGCTTCTCTCAAACAGTATATGATGTGTACTTCAAATACTTCGAATGATTATAATGCACTCTGTTGTACCAACACTATCGGCTCGGATGAACATTTGTCACTGATATAGGCACTGGGTCTTCGTGACGAAGGGGCGGAACTTGCAAGCTTCACAGCAATTGACTGGGAAGGGGAATTCAGCGGTGTTGGGATAGGAATGCTCAAGAATCTCGAGTCATGATTGGTTTTCGAACGAGTTCGCCATTGGCGGTCGCATTTTCGATGTGCTATCATGGTTCTCTAGTAGCTTACGTTCTAAAATCGGGTACCAAGCTGTACACTGCAATCTGTGTGCGGAAGCGAGTTCTCCGATTTTCGCGTAGACCATGGCATATAGAGAAGTCGTTTGATTCATCTGGTGCCCCTATTGACTTGGTACTTCAGCCGGTATAACTCTGCACCCACACGCGCACAACGCGTAAGTGGCCATCAGTACCCAGGCATGCTGATCATCAGTAGCTGATTGCACGGATACAGCATTCCCCAGTATTCGCATGCGGTTGGCCTGGCCAACTTGGCCAGAAATAGCAGTGCGTAAGTCAGAAACATGACTGGGAAATGCTGTAGTAGTTACGAACTTCGAGACTACTATTTGGGTCATCAGTTTCGAATCAGTGCGTGATATTAAGCGTGTCGCTCAAAGTAATGGAAACTGATCATGGCGTCCAAATAAGATACCCGCCCTACCTCTCGTCGAAGGCTTGAAGAGAGCACTTCCACCTTGTTGGGAAGGAGGTCACCCAAAATATCTCTGTATCGATGTCCCATGGCTCGCATTTGAGATTTCCCGAGACTTGTCAAGTCCCCGGGTGCCTGACACGAGACTTCGACCCTGGCCTCAAAAGCCTCGGCAAGTACCAGAACGCCACCCCAGGGATATGCTCCCGGGGGATAGGAACTCAGATTTGTAGGAGTCCGAGCACCATGCCGAGATAACACCTACAAG